AAAAATAGAGGGCTAACCTTAGGCAACATAGTAACTTACGGATGGAGTGCAAAGTCGTAAGTGCTTTTCTTTAAGAAAATTAGACAAGTTTTTACGTCTAACTTATAAAAGAAAAGGAAAACTTTGTTTAAGAAACACACATATGAGAACTTTCTGCTATCGACAAATTTGTTTACAAATACCGACAAAGTTGTGTACGTAAATATTAAGATAAATTTTTTTCAAGACAAAATGTTTAAGACATTCTATGCAAAATAAGATAATCTGTTAATTAAAGTAGAACGCAACTGAATAAAACAAATTAACGAGTTTTTCATTTATTTGAATATAATGAGAAGTGTCAAAACTAGTAAATTATTTCGAACTTAAACAGTAGACTCGACGAAATTAAATGGAATCTAAGATGTTACTTAAAATAAAAATTGTTGATAATGAGGTCTCAGAATCAAACATTAGAATGCTTAAATAGTAAAACAGATGTAGAAAAAAAAGAATGGCTTGATTGTTCAAGAACTAAAGTACTAATGATCAAAAACAAATATGAAAATAAAAAATCGTTAACTGAAGTATCTTTTTTATATATAAAGATAAATTATAGATAATATTTTATGCTATTTTTAGGTATTTTGATATTTTGAAACTGTATTTTTTGGATCCGAGTTTTTCACTTGATAGTTTATTAAAGAAAATTCAAATAAAATTAGTTCAAGTTTTTTTTTTTTTTTTTTTTTTTTTTTATAATTTAGCCGTACAAATATTTACAAGTTCCGTAATTTAAAATATTTAAAAATGGCAAGGACGAGAAGAAGACGGGGTTGTCTTATCACCAAGTCCCTTGTTTGTCTAGACATTTATATAAATACATGGTAACTAAAATGAAAATTAAAAAATTAAGAAAAAAGCAAAAAGTTACAAAGAAGTTTATATAAAATGCCAAATAGTTTAATAGTTCAAAGTTTTGAAAGATATTTTTTCGATTTTATTTTTTGAAAGAAAAATTTAAAAGTTCATTCAGAAAAACAAAAATATCAAAAAACAAAAAAACATGAAAAAAGTAAACGTAAAATTTAATTTACAATCTGCTCTTATAAAGTGTAATATATTAATTCCTCAAAAACAAATTACAAAATATTAATATAAAAAATTAAAACTCAAAAAAGATTACTTTTTTTATTTTTCCTCTCTCTCTCTTATTAAGAAAACTAATAAATTTATTTAAACTAATGAAATCTAAAAATGCTAAAAATCTTTATAAGTACTTTTTTTATAATATAACAGACTGTAATACCTATATAAAATAAAAGAATTTAGACCTTCCAGACAAATAAAGTATGCATTAGTAGATAGTTTTAATATATAATATTTTTATAGATAGATTTAAAAATAATTATCTGTTTGTTCATTATTTAAAAGTAATAGTTTTAGTTTTTGTTTAAACTGATCAAGAGTTTTGAGTGTTTTAATATCATTACTGATTATCTTATTCCATGCATTAGGTCCTCTAACAGTTATTGCAAACTTGGTGGAGTCGTATATAGTTTTGGGTTGAACAAAGTTGTTGTTAGAATATTTAGTTACGTATTTGTGTTGAATTTTATTAAATAATGGTTTGAAGATATTTGGTATTGAATTGTTATTAATTTTATACATAAAAATTAGAAGATGATATATATTTATTTGGTACACATTTAGTATTTTTAGATTGTAAAACAATGGTCTTGAATGTGAGAGGCGGTGTGCATTTGATAATAATCTAATTGCATGTTTTTGTTTGCTAAATAGCTTTTTTATCTTTGTTTTATTGGTGCTACACCAAGCAATGTTTGCATAATTAAGATAAGAATGTATAAATGAGTAATATATGTATTTCAAGCAGGATTGATCTAAGAATGGTTTTGCTTTATAGAGTAATACAATATTTTTAGAAATTTTATTTTCAATCATGTTTATGTGGTCTTTCCAATTTATGTTTTCATCTAGAATTACACCTAAAAATTTCATCGAACATTCTCTTTTTACGATGTAATCTCCAATAATAAGTTTTGGAAGTTCAAGAGGAATTTTTTCTTTTTTATGGAGGCGATGAAAAATAGTATATTTAGTTTTAGTTAAATTAATTGAAAGTTTGTTCATATTTAACCATTCGGTTAGTTTTAGGAGTTCAATGTTGACCGTTTTAAATAATGCTGTTATATCACTATGAGAATAAAATAAATTTGTGTCATCAGCAAATAAGATAGAATCTAGAATATTAGAGGCTTTGCTTAAATCATTAATATAAATTAAAAATAAGAGTGGTCCTAATATAGATCCTTGAGGAACGCCGCAAGTAATTGTCATATTGTTAGTTTTTTTATTGCCGAATGAAATATACTGTTTTCTATTAGATAAGTAGCTTTTAAACCAAGCTATGTTAATATTTTTGATACCGTAGTTCTCTAATTTTTTAATTAAAATACTATGATCAACTGTGTCGAACGCCTTACTTAGATCTATGAAAACACCTAAAGTGAACTTGTTTTTATCAAAAGCTTGAAAAATAATCTGAACAAGATGAAGAATTGCATGATCAGTAGAGTGCCCTGTTTTGAAGCCAAATTGTTTGTTATATAGAATATTATTTTTTTCTAAATATGAATATAATTTGTTATACATAATGCGTTCTAGTATTTTTGAGAAGCAAGGAAGAATGGAAATAGGTCTATAATTAGAAATATTAGTATTATCTCCAGATTTAAAAACTGGTATTACCCTTGCAATTTTAAGTTTTTTTGGAAAGATTCCTTGTTTAAACGAAAGATTAAATATATGCAAAAGGATTTTTTTAATATAGAAGATACATTTAATTATGACATTACTGCTAATGTTATCATCTCCTTGTGATTTGTTTAATTTTAATGAAAGAACAGCATCTAATAACTCTTTTTCGGTTAACTCCGCATTTTCCATTATTGATTTGCTAGGAGTCAAGTATTTCTCCTTGTTAAAATCACTGTGTTTTAGTTTGGATGCTAAATTTAGACCTGCGTTGACAAATACGTCATTAAACGTTTTAGCAATTAGAGATTCTTTTGTAATATCTTGATGATTGTAATTGAGCTTTTTTGGAAGACCATTTAACATAGTTGTTTTTTTTTCTAACATAGAACATAACATTTAACATAGTTAAATTCTTTCCCCATATTTTTGTTACAATTAACATATTAAATATTGAAACATTTAATGCTTTAATATTTAAAACATTTATAATCTTCAAAAATTGTTTAAAACATATTTTACTGTTAATTGATCATTTAGCGGTTCGTGTTTGCAAAACACCGAAAAAACTTATATTAAAGAAGTGTAAAAATAATACGGATTCACGTATTCGCAATAAAATATCGAGAAATAATTGTAATATATATTAATCAAATCATTTATCATCAAAGCATTTATCGGTAGTACTTATCTTATGGCAATATTGTTTGGGGTAGTAGAAACAAATCTTAACTCGAATGCCTCCTCAAGCAACAGAATTATGCAGCAATAATTGTTTATTTTTAAAATCACTTCTCAAATGCTAAACCTCTTCTAAGAAACACGAGGTCTCTTAATATTTATGAATTAAACATATTTAAAGTCACACAATTTATGTTCCAAATTCAGTTTAAAAAAACTCCAAAGGCTTTCGAAAATATTTTTCATAAAACATCAAACCGATACAAAACTCGATCGAGTATACAGTATACACGAAAGTTTGTAAAACCTTTCCGTATATCAAAACTTACTAAATTCTCCATTTCTTATCGTGTCCAATGCTAATGAATCATTTTACAAGCCTGAGCCGTAAATTTAGAGAAAGAAATACCGCTAAAAAATTCAAAAATAACAAGATTGAACTTATTGCCAATCAAAAATCTTTACTTGATTTTTTATAAAAATATACTTTTATCCTTTTTTTTTTGTTATGAACGGTTACTGATGATTAGATTTTTTTTTTCTTCAGGTTCTCCGGTCTTGTAACTAATATATACGATGAAATGAATTTGTATGTCAGAAATCACTTTAAAAATGGTTGCTGACAAAAATTAATAACGATAATTAATCTTACTTCTAATTAAATTTTAGTAAAAATTTGTTATTACATACTAACTTACGTATAAAAAAAGAAAAATTAAAAAAATAATTAAAAAAAGTTTTGATGCCAAAATATTTCTCTGAAACTCCAAATATAGAAAATATTAAAATATCCATATCTTTGGAACTAAATAAGCTAACGCGATGGTTGAAACCATTTTAAAAATGAAATATCTTAAATATTGCAATTCATTTAAAATAAACAAAATTTATGCTGGCTATAAATATGTCCAATATTCTCTTATCTAACTAAAGATATCAAATCTCTTATAACAACAACATTTAAACTGTTGTTTTGCGTTGTAGATAATTTTTTTTTTACTTTGTGTTACGTGAAATATTGTTTAAGAGATAAATGCGCACAAATAAAATTTATTTACGTATTAAGTTAAATTTCGTTTCCATAACGCTGTTTCTGACAACGCGCTGGAAACGAGCTGGTTTGTTTGAACTCAACTTTTATGCAACTGCAAGAATGCACATATTTTAGCTCAAGTCCAGATTTGTGCAAAAATCATTATTTGCGTTACGCATGCGTGCACAAATCTATTGTGAAAAAGTATAATGCAATGTAGCGTTACAAATAAACCAAGGTTTTGCACGGTTCTGCACAAAACTTTACAAACCTATTCAATTTGATGCATAGAAACACGTTGAACTGTCTTAAAGGCAGCGAGACTTAAGGGTTTTTTGATTAAAGCTTCGGAATGTTTATATAATTCCAACCTGAGCTTGCGCGTTGTGCAATGAGCTGGTTGAGATCATGGATATTTTCTGCTATACTTTCTTCAAGCGATGGGCCTTAATTGCACAAAGAAAAAGAAACGAACTGATATCTTCATCGCTTCGAATTATAAACTTTCACACAAGCTTTATTCAAAAAACGAAATCTGGAGACGAAGACAGCTGGCAAATATTTTTACAGTATTTGCTAGTTGCTTTTGTCCCCTGATTATTTATTAAAAATAAGTTTATGCGAGATGTTTTATATCTACTATTGGAGGATGTTAATCATACTCACCGCAAGAAGGTAGTTTTATTTTTAACAATTAAATACAATAACTACTCTGCAAATTTTTTTGCAAATCTATTTATAATGTATATACTTTTTAAATTAAAATTATTTGGAGTTGTGTCAGGTAATATACAACAACAACGTAACATAAGCGGTATAAATAGGATAGAATTTTGTTTATAATGTTATTGATGCATTATGCCATCTATATTTTATTATTATACTATATATATAAGCTTTAATTTATAAAAATGAATTTTTCTAAATCAATCATAAAATAGTTTAAAAATTATAAAAAGATATTATTTTAATAAGAATTATAAAATGATACCACTTTATTACAACGATAACAACTAGACAGCAACACGAGAGATGACAAATTATTATAACAACAATACAAAATAAAAACTATATTAAATTTTATAAATCATTATTTAAAATATTACAAAAAACCAAGAAAGCTATCTTCTACATCCTTAGCTTCTGCATTAGATAATTTAGTTAAAGGTAACCTGCATGGCCCACCATAAAACCCAGCCATATCCATCGCGTATTTTAAACCAGGAACATTATACTTTCTTGTTACCTAAAACAAATTAATTTGTAAAGGTTCTTAAAAGTAAAATTCTGTTAAACTTTTTACACCGCATAAAACTAATAAACAAAGCTAACTGCTTGATTTGGTGCTATGAGCGCTAATTGTAGGTCTCTTGCTTCTTCAAATTTACCAGCAAGTATTGAAGAATATAAGTCACAACATTCTTTTCCAAGGACATTTGCTAATGCGCATATACCACCAACTGCACCTACAAAAAAAAGGTTTAAAAACGGTTGACTTTAAATTTTTCATAATTATTCTCTTACAATGAACAAAAATTTTACTTTTACCAATTTGCATGGCAGGCATTAAAAAACTGGCTGACCCAGCAATGATTTGAAAATTTTCATGCTTTGTCATTTGTTTTACGTGCGCAATATTAGCAATCTATAACAAAAAAAAAAATGTTTTCAATTAATCAAAAAAAAAAAAATTTAAAATAATCAAAAACCCGTGTAAAGCAGATCTCCAGTAAAAATAATTTGCGTTGTTGAGAAATTTGTACTTGTTTTAATAAAGAAAATATTGAAACCAGTAAATAATTTATACTAAGTAGACATATTAGAAAAGTTATTCTGCAATGCCAGTGATCACAGATAACATTTTAATTTAGTTTAACATAGTTTCAATCAGTGCTTGATTAAGGGAGGGGTAGCTATAGCCCCGGGACCCACAACTTTAGGGGCCCTAAAAAAGTTTTAAGGACTTATTTTTCATTTTGAAGTCATCTTTTATGCTGTGGCACACAAAATAGGTCTCCAAAAAAAATAGGCCCGGGCCCCGAAAAGTCTCTCCGCCACTGGTTTCAATGATTACAGATATCATTTTCATACCATCATAAAAACCTTTTTCTGCACTTTTTGTTATCCATCTACTTTGAACGGTTTCTTATCAAGATTATCACCTTTGCCACTGGCAATAAACAATAGAGGTTGTTTTTTTGCTAATATTTTTTTTTTCTATATAAAAATTTTAAATTAAAAATTTTAATAAATTAAAACTTTTAATAAATTAAAAATTTTATTAAAATTTTCAATTTGTTAAAATTTTATCAAAATTTTAATCCTTGAGTACTACTATTGCTTGACCTATTACACCATTATATTTTTTAAAAATAAGATTTTAATCTTGTATAAACCTTTTTATAGTGATTTAAATATCCAATTTTATCTAATTTAATTTTAAATTTAATATTCTTAATATTCATGAAGTAGGTTTATTATAAACACCGTTTTATGTAGTAAGTTTAATAAAAAAACATTTGGATAGAAGATGAGTAAAAATGTGTTGCTTTTGCTTGGCGCGAAAATGCGAGTATGCATTTTCGTAATGCTTAAAAAAGTACACTAATGGTTGCAAAATATGAAGAATGAGCTAGAAGACATATATACGTATGCTATATAATAATAAATTCAAACCTTTAATGATTTCAAAGTGTACAGCAAACAGTGGCAAAAAAAGACACCATCAGTATTACAGAAGTTGTTCACAGTATAATTTATTTTAAAATTGTTACCAATAAGTTTAGTATCTTGCTTTGATTGCAACTAAGGCCTGTTTTATTCCATTTGTGCAACGGTTATTTCTTTTAAAACTTTCCTTTTTTAAAAATGAGATTCCAAAATAAAATTAACTACAAAAAACACTGAAGATAAATTATTCTGTTTTTAAACCTGCTTATGGTAGACAATGATTCTATATATATTTTTTTTACATAAATTTCAGGTTCGAATGTTAGTTAAATTTTCACAAGTGTGACCCAAAATATGTCATGACCCATATAACACACATAAGCTTTTTTTTTTTTTTTTAAAAAAAACAACAACTAAGGGCATATAATATAATATATATAAAATATGGCTCCTGAATATTTTAAAGGAGAAAAACTTTAAATCCCTAAAAAAATGCTTATTCACTTGATTATAATCAGAAGTTATTGTAAGCAATTCTTTTACCACATTGTTCAATAGATTCAATAACAATAGCAACTGAAATAAATTAGAAACCATAATTCAGATTAAATACAAGATAATGTTGCAACTGAAGTAAGCTTTTAACCTTTACAATGAGAAGTGTACTAGCAAACTTCTCTGGATCATCTTTAGCACGACTATAATTCTTTCCGTCACGAAAAAAAGAAATGGCTTAAACATATACTTTATTAAATATTTTAATTTATAATCATTGTCTGTCATCCAAACTGTAGAATATTTTTAAAATCATAGACAATGTACCAAGTTAATATGCTCTATAATTATGCCAAAGTTTAAATATATATATATATATATATATATATATATATATATATATATATATATATATATATATATACATATATATATATATATATATATATATATATATAAGCCCGCCGGGTCCTGTTATGACGCCTGGGGTCAAAATTTATCTAGCGCCCTGTCATATTGACCTAATCGAAAAAAGTTTAGGTACTGTCCAAATGCTAAGTTTATTTTTTAAAGTTTTGCGTTTTTGAATTCACTTTCAGAGGCCGAGGGGTAATTACAGTCGAGGAGGCTTCTATTTATTTTTTAAATAAATTTGAAATAAAGGTAAAGAAAGAAGCACAAGTTGACAAGTTATTGAACTTTATTATAATGTGAGTAACTGTAAATTTTAAATGTAATAGATATTTTAAATGCTTCATGAGAATTTGACTCTCCGGGCTTTATTTAAAGCAAAATTTGCAATGACCTCGTCGTAGCACAGACTTTTTGCTAGATCGTGCTCAATAGATATAACTAAGAGATTGGTAAGCCGGTCTTGACTCATTGTAGATCTTAGTGTTGTCTTGACTAGACCAAGCTTGCTGAAAGACCGCTCTCCTTCGGCGATGGAAACAGGAATTGTGTTAAAAATACATAATAAAATGCATGTTAATTACAAGATAGACTCTAGACCTTTTTGATAGATTCCATTTAATAGCTTCATTGAAGTGAGATATTCTTTTGGACCGAAAAGATTGGCACGTTTCAGAGTATCCAGATGACAGACTTCTAAAATAAGTTTGTCTTCATCTACGTCGTTCACATACATTTGCACCAAAGTTTTACATTTTTCCTCCAGGCAATTTCTTTTTCATCACTCGACCTACTATTAGATTCTGAGAGCCATAGGAAAGAAAAACTGTTAGTCATCTTTTCTGCAGCTTGAAATCTGTCTTTTATTTGTTGAATTAAAGTATCAAGAGGGGTATTGAATACGTTCACCTCAAACCGCTTTTCATCGTTTTCTAAGAAATGAACTTTCTTTCTTGCTTCTTTGTAAAAAGTTTTCCTCTTCTTTGTCATTTTTTGAACTAGTTTTGACTGAAACCCATAACTAGCTAGACCGGAGGCAACTAAATGTGCTTCATTAATTAACTCAGGCCAAGAAGATTTAAGTCTAGTAAGATCCTCGATAAGAATCTTCATAAGTTTCATCTCATCATCTAAAGTAATGGCATGTAGAAAGCTTGAGGATTTCTCTGAAGAATGATCGCTTGTACTCCTTTGTACACATCAGACATGTCGGCACCGTTGTCATATCCCTGACCTCAACAGTTCTTCAGATCGATGTCATTTTGATCCAAGACATCCATAATTAGCTTAGCAATATCCACACCTTTCTTTTTATTGAGACTTTTGACCCTAAGAAAGCGCTCCTTAACTACCCATTTTTTATCGATACCATAGTAGACAAAGCGGAGAACAAATGCAATTTGCTCAGTATGAGAGACGTCAGGCGTTCTGTCAACAAGAATGGAATAGTAAATTGCCATATGCGCCACTTTAATGATGGCACAGTGGACGATTCTTCCACACTCTTTTATAAAATTATTTTGAGAACTCCAGCCCAAATAATGGGAACAATTTGTTTACCTTCTTGTTGGCAGCGAGAAACCTCTTCTAGATGTAACTAAAGGGTTTCGTTGTGCTTTGCGAGCTCTAGAGTTGCAAGAAAAATGCCGTTATTGTCATCACCGATCATTTTTGATGAGCCTAAAACATCGATTTTAATTACACATATAAATCATGACTTTCTGTTTAATTATAGTAAAAATAAATTATTGCGTAAATATAAATATAAAAATTAATGTTCACAAATATACCTCTGAAGCTAAGGTTGCATGATGTTAAGAAGAGAGTTACATCTAAAATGCAATTTAAAATTTCACGGCACCTGGCTACCTTATTTTTTATAATTTTTTCTAAACTTGAATCAATCTCACATTGATTTTCCAAGCTTTCCAGCGCTGTTTTCTACTTAATGTAATAGTCTTGATGGTGAGGATTGTTTTGGTGGCTTTTTACTTTTTCAGCCAGCTTTCTCCAGTTTCCATTGATGTCACCATTCCAACGTAGAAGATGTGAATTATTACCAGCCCCGCAGGCTGGTTTGCTTCTGAAAAGTGAGCAGGGTAAGCAAAGAAATGATTTTGAAGTTGCACTCCAAACAAGTTAATCTCTGTTTATTTTCTCCCCATTACGAGTTACTTCGTGGAAAACTGATTCAGGAACCTTAATCTTGTTTGAGTCTTTCGGAAAAGATAAAGGATTTTTAGGAGGCCCCTGAAGAACAACTGCATAGCGTTCTACTTTGGACATATTTTCAGCCCACAAAGCAGGTGTTTGTAGTAATTTCCTCACTTATCTTATCTTTATTCTAATATTTTAAATAAAGATTTTAATAAGTATATAATTTTCACAAATTCACAAAAATAATTAAAAGAATCTTTGCGAAGCAAATTTTACCAAAATATTGTTTTCATTTTCAACTCTTGTTGCCAACATTGCCAACGTGCCACTCGAAGGAGGAAGTGGTTCTTCTGAGTTCAACAAAATTTCATAAGACTCATTTGCAAAGCTATCCTATAGAAAATATTCAAAAATGTCTTGATTTATATAATAATAGTATAATAGGAAAGATATGAAAAAAAAGGTTATGTTTAGATAAATGAACTTACTATTTCAAAAGCTTGACATGATTGAGAGGAATTTGTAGATATCAATCTGGAAACTGTAGGCCTATCCCCGTCATTTTTTTAAACTTGTATACCACAATCTTCGAGTGTACGTTTTTTTTTTTGCTCATTTGCTGTCATATTTGCCACATTTTTTCAGCCAGATTCTTTTTAATTAAAACTGAACATGTTTTGTTTTTAAGAAAGTTTTGAACTTGAATGAAAACTATTTTTATGATACTTAGTGAATCTAGATTAAATCTAAGAAACTCAATTATACAATGTACTTTAACCTTATTTATATATACAACCCTCGGAATTAGGAAAATTGAGGTCAGCAATAATTTGCCGACCTCAATCTTATAGAGGTCGGCATCAGGTCGTCTTACCATAAAGCATCAAAACGAGGTCGGCAAAACCAAATTTTTTTTGCAAACCGCAAACACATTTAGGTCTGCAGTTAAGTCAGCATTGCCAAATGCCGACCCTAATTCCGAGGGTTGTGTATATATATATATATATACATATATATATATATATATATACATATATATATATATATATATATATATATATATATATATATATATATATATATATATATATATATATATATATATATCAACAAAGCAGCTCTTACGAGTATTTTAATGCTGTATTGTTGAGTCAACAATACATTTAAAACTTATATTTTAAAATTAATTTTAAAAAAAGCAGTTGAAAGAGTTTTTCATTGAAGCCCTGTGTATCAATTTTATAAAAAAAAATTGTCATTTGAGCGCCCCTTCCTGATCCTGCGACCATGATCCTGCGCCCAGGTAAAAAAGACCCAGGGACCCCCCCCCATGCGGCGGCCCTGTATATGTATATATATATATATATATATATATATATATATATATATATATATATATATATATATATATATATACATATACATATATAGATAGAGAGAGAAAGAGAGAGCTTAAATTATACATACTTACACAAACATAACACTAATAATAATACTAAATATTATTACAGCAAATATTATTATACAGGGTAGCCACTCAAATTTGAAAGTGAAATTCTATGAATTTTCCATGACTCTTCATAAGCTTTTATGATAAATCACTAGAATAAAATATTTAGTACTTGCCATGTACTAAGCATTTGCAACTTGGTCATTATTTTCAATGAAAATTTAGGAATTCCATGACTTTTTCCATGACTAAATAAAATTCCATGATATTTCCATGATTTCCATGACCAGTGGCCACCCTGAATATAGTATTAATAGAAAATAAATATAAATATTGATAGTAAATAAATAAAAATATAAATTTATTAACTTGATGAGAATACCTTTTAAGGAGTCTCTGTACTGATGGTACATTGTGGACTGTGTTCTTTAACTATATTAGGGGATTTTTAACATAAGAGTTTTTTGATAAATATTCAAAGTTTTTATTTAAATATTCAAACTTTTTAGATAAAAGCTAAAAAAGTAATTTATTGCATTAACTTAAAGAAATTAAAACTTTTAATAAAACTTGGGGTCAGGTTCCTAATGTTCATTGATTAAAAAATTAGTACTAAAAAATATGCGTTTGGTCACATTTTGATTTTAAATAAAATCGATATGATGAAAAAATTGGAAAGGTTTTTAATGGTTTAATATATATAGGCAAAAATAAAAACAGTATAAAATGTTAATAACTTTATAACTAATCATAAGATTTTCAAACATATCATCAAAATATTTCTTCAGTTTTAAAAATATATGCTCATAAAATCTGCTAGTGTGCTAATTTGAGCCATGCATTTAACATGGCTTTAGAGGATGCAAATGATTTGGTTTGAGACACCGAGATTCAATCCCTCTAAAAAACAACTTATCACATCCATAAGCTGCTTTAGATATCTTATAAGAGAGAAGCTTTAAATAATTTTGTATATTCTTGTAATTTGTCTTAAGACCCTCCTCAAATAAATTGCCAGCCATAAATATCATTAGGAATATTAAGACCTTCCTCAAATAAATTGCCAGCCATAACTATCATTAGGAATATTAAGACCTTCCTGAAATAAATTGCCAGCCATAACTATCATTAGGAATATTAGGAGTGTAGTATTGTAATATAACTTGTAAAGTTTGCCAATTTTAATGTTAAGTTAATAAGAAACTATAAAAATATTTCATTTAAGAATATATTTGTATCTTTGTACATAAGAGTGCATAGATCTTTTATACTCGAAACTAATTCTTCAGAGAAAAAAAGAGTGCTTACAAAACATTATTTGATCAGATTTAGTTTGTGTAAATTTATGTAAATTTACAAAAAAATACAAAGTTAAAAAAAATACAAAAAAAATACAAAGTTAACAATTTATATATTATATATTCTATTAGGCACTTTATTTTGAAATGTGCCTATCACTTATATATTTATAATATCTATTTTTGAAGGTCTAATCCCAGATGCATGACTGGAAGCTAACATCACACCTCTTCATAAAAAAAGAATCTAAACTTGACGCATCAAACTACAGACCAATTTCATTAATATCTGCCTGCTGCAAACTCCTGGAACATATTGTAAAAGATTGTTTAAATGAGTATATATCTGCTAATAGTCTTTTATCTCAAAATCAGCACGGATTTGTTCCAAATAACTCACACATTAATAATTTACAGGAAACTGAAGATCAGATCTTATACTTAATGGCAAGAGGCTATAGTGTAGATGCTTTATATCTAAATTATGAAAAAGTGTTTGATACACCTCATGATGAGGTGTGTCAAACACTTTTTCTTTACAAAGAAATCTTATGCTCCACAAACTTTCTGGCTATGGTGTCTTTTATATGCTACTTAATTGGATAAAGTCTTTTCTTTCTAACAGAACACAGCAAGTTGTCATGGGTTCTGCTACTTCAGATTGGTTACCAGCCACTAGTGGTGTCCCAAAAGGATCTGTTTTAGAGCCTCTTCTATTTGTCTTATACATCAAAGAAATTACAGACCTAGTTAGCAATCCAATTAAGTTATATGCTGATGAGAGCAAAGTTACTTCACCAATTTGACCCCTGACAACCCAAATATGCTCCAGAACAACATAAATCAAATCACATCTTGAACTACAATCTGGCGCTTACGTCTTAACTACAAAAAGTGTTATCTTACACATTTTGTAGTTAAGATATACCTTAGACTTCATCAAAAATATCTTATACTTCAACAAAAACCCTAACCACCAATACTATAACTTGACTCCACAAGGAATGCAGATTCTCGATTCCTCTTACAACAAAAGAGATCTTGGCATTTGTATTTCACACAACCTCAAATGAAACATGCATGTCGAAATAATATCAGCAAAAACTAACTCTGTCCTGGGTCAAGTAAAGAAAGCTTTTATCTTTAAAAATGCACAAGTCTGGAAGAGACTTAAAACATTGCTTGTCAGACCTCATCTTGAGTATGCTGCTCCTGTACGGAATAATATGAAAAAGTTTAAAACCGCGCCAAAAAGAAATTCCGCTTCTTAGAGCGTTATCCAGCAAAATCAGATTACCACATCTTCATCTCACTTAAAAAAAAGACATAATCGAAGTGATTTAATCTACAACTTCAAGTTTATTAATAACTTAAAAAAATATTATTGGCTTAACCCTACAAATTGGTCATCCATATGATCAGATAATTCAAGGACACTCTCAGCGCCTCTTCAAAGAGTTCTTTAATGCATTTAACCTCAACAATAATTTAACGCAAGCCATCTCTACTAGACTTAATTTCTTCCCTAAATCAGTCGTTGGAATTTACTCCCACAAACTGTGATTAGTTCTTGTCATCTTAATGAGTTTAAAAATTGTATTGACAAATAGTTTGGTTAGTGATAACATTATAATTGTCTATCGAAATGCTGCTACAACTCATTGTCTACTGACAAGGAACTAAACAGTTGCTACCCCTTTCAAGCGAGAGAGAAAAAACAAAAAACATATTTATTTTGTGCTAAATTTAGCACTTTTATTTAGTTTAGACCTTTTGTTAATATTTTCTTGCCGCAGCTAATCATTATTATTATTACTTTTTATAAACATTATCAAATATATTATTTTTATATAACTATTATTAAATATTTTATTATTATACTTTGTATTTTCCAACAAAAACTTAAAATAGAAAAAAACTCAACAAAAATATTTAAAAAAAAAATGTCTAGTAACAATCAAAATATCAATCATAAAATATTCAGTTTTATTAAGTAGTTTTGAATTCGTAAATATTTAGCATTTTGTTACATTTTATGTAAATATATTACATAAGAAACATTTATTACTAAAAACATAAATAATATATTTTTTAGGTTTTGAATAATTTGAATAAAGCTTTTACCACTTTCGAGACAAAAACCTTACATTTCCTCCACTATCTTTTAGCCCATATATATTTGGGTGTTTTGCTAGTTCAAATATTGCATCCAATGGAAAGTCGATGCCAGTATTAGATGGTACATTATAGAGAAGTATTGGTATTGATGAATGGTTTGCAATCTAAAAAAAGCTATACACTTGATATCAATTTAATATAGTATTTTTCAATACTAGCAGGGAGCCATTCATAGAAAGCTTTCAAGCTACAAGTTAAAACTTTCAACAAATTTTATGAAAATTTTGAAAGATTTAGCCGCAGTTACTATAGTTATAACTAGATGATCATATAAAGTTTTTAAACACAAGAAATAAAATGAGATTTGAATCTAGCGCGTGACTCCATTGCAGCAGTTGTCATCTACAAAAATGAGTTAAACATCTGCCTACTTTCTTCATTGCGCACATTATAACATCTTAAAACATAAAAAAAAAAGAATTCAAACCTCTAGATTGATAGAATTTCAAAATAAAATTTTTTTTCAAATGTGGTTATTAAAAGCTGGGCCACTACTAAATTGATTTTATTCTTCAATCACCAAAAGTTTAGCGACATTTCTTGTATTATGTAAAGTTATAATTAGTGATAAAACATTAAAAACAGCATTGTGCTAACTAAATTTAAAAAACATCAAAACAACATCGAATAACTAATCAGACATAAAACGTTTACGTCTGAAGATGGTCTATACAAATTAGACCACAATATCACAAAAAAGAAAAAGAAAAATTAGTTAGTGAGATGCTGTTTTTGATGTTTTATAATTAATATATATTTAGACTGTTTTTGACACCGTCAACTGTAATTCTCCCCCCCCCTTTTTTTTTATAGCAAATATTGTTTTTTAAATTTCTACGGGAGGGGGGGGGGGAAGGAAGGGGGTAGAGGGGTTTACCACCGACAAAAACTTTTCCCTAGAACAGTCTGATATATATATATCAACATTCGGAATTACGAAAAAATGAGGTCGGCAATAATTTGCTGACCTCAATCTTTTAGAGTTTGGCATTAGGTCGCCAAAAAAAAATTAGATACAAAGGTCTTACCATAAAACATTTAAGCGATGTTGGCAATATTTTGCAAACCTCAAACACATTGAGGTCGACAGTTAGGTCAGAATTGCCAAATGGCGACCCTAATTCCAAGAGCTTTACATATATATATATATATATATATATATATATATATATATATAAAATAAGCATTAAAACAACGTATACAGTATCATACTATAGTATTATACTGTATCATACTATAGTTTAATACATATATGATGTTTTAACGTTTATAATATTATTAAACATACTATTAAAGATGTGTTAATGGTTATTATATATATACATATATATATATATATATATATATATATATATATATATATATATATATATATATATATATATTTATATATATATATATATATAGTATAATAAAATATTATGGCGCAGAAAAAAAAAATTATTGTATTACTATATGACTATAAAATGACAAATTTTCAAAATAACAAAAAAGCTCACCATTGTATAATGCTGAATCATGGCATTAGTATTCATTTTATTTTTAAAAAATGAGGGTGTTGCTATAAGTGCAACATCTGCACCAACATCAGCCATTTTGTTTGTTAGTTCAAGAGTTTCTCTTGTTCCTTAAAAAAAATTTATTAATTTTGGTATTAAAAATATGATATAGAAAATACTATGCTCAAATAGTGATTGACATCACCATTCCGTATTTTCATTTTACATCACCCCTAATTTCCATCTCTAATCACCATCTCCTAATAATAATAAAAAAACCCTGTAATATTTTTTTATAACCATATATCAAGTAAAAAAAAGTAAGCGATCAAGAACCTGCACAAGTGACACCATTAAATTAAAATGATTCAAATTCTTTTTAATACTTAATTAAAAAATTTTAACAAAAATGTTTATAAATAAAAAACTTTTTTGGTCTGAAAATTTTTTTATAAGTTAGAGAACCAAGATGCCCTTAACTTAAAACTAGAAATAGGAAACTTATAATTCCTAAATAATCAAATCTAAGAGAAAATTAAACAATTCTATGGATTAAACAATCAGATGTCGAAAAAAAAAAAAAAAAAAAGAAAAAGAATTTTATGGGTCAAAAAAGCAATTTAATGTATCAAAAAAGCTTATTTTTAAATACATTTCTTTTTATAAAAAATAACTATCCAACTTATTGAAAAGTTAAACAAAATTTTTTATAGATTACTGATTGCATCAAAACTTGCACAGAAAATATTGCAACATAGTGTAGTTCTTTTTAACAAAAGATTTATGTGGTTTGTTAGCTTAGATTAAAATGGTAAAAACAATGGCAATTCTTTTGAGTGATGTTGTAGGCCTTATATATATATGGCAGTTTTTTTATTATTATTTTTGATAAACTTAAAATTTTTTAAAATATTAAGAAACTATGTTTATTTTAATATATTTAATATTAAACTTTGTAACTTTTAAACATAGTTTTCTCACACATTTTGATACTATTTTTTTTAAACAATGCATTTAATGCTGCAACATTGCAAAAATAGTGTTGCATATATTGATTTAATTCAATGTTAAACATGCTATATTTCATCACTTGCATATTACAGAGAAATATATAATATACTGAAATATACATTCATTTATGTATATAAACTTACATGCCAACTAATAACAGTCCTATTTTATTTAGTTTTTTATGTTAAATACATGAATTAAATTTTAACTTAAAATAAAACTGAATAATCAACTTATTCAAATCAGAATTGGTTTGTAGGGGCTATTCTAGGATAATAATAAATTAGGTTCTGCCCTGGTTTGTCTAAAAAATTTTATTTTCATTAACCCTTCTGATTTAAGACATGATAAAAAAATTTAACAATTAAGTGAATTGAAGTAACTAAAAAACGCTTCAGTATTTCAAATTACTTTACAAGTCATTTTTAACTTTTTAAGTACCTAAACAGACTAAGTATACAACCAACAACAAACAAATATTTATTTATTGAAACTACAAATATTAATTGTAAAATTAAAAAGATAACAACAATTCTCCTTGAAAGCTAACAAAAATTTATTAGGTAAATTTTATTATTTTTCTATTTACTATTTCTGTGATGTTATTTTTTTAATGTTTTGTGTTAATAGACAGTTGACATCCCGTTGATGTTTCTTGGTGTTCGTTAAAAATGAATAATAGGTAGTTTAATTATTTTATGTTTTTAATCAACCATTAAAAGCAGAGACAAGATTTTACTATAAATACAATTTATTTATATCTTAGTTTGATTTGTTATCTAAATATTAATACTCCAGCTAACGTTCTATGTTGGATTATATTGCTTAATGTCATATTCTAAGTAGTTACTAGGCTTTTTTGAATGCTTATTATGTTTTCCCCTCTCTAACATAAAGATTAATTTTCCACTTAGTACGAGTCTTGTTAACTAATTACATTTCTCATCAAATAATTACATTTCTCCTCTAGATATCTATTATATAAATATAACATGAATTTTAAATTAAAAAAATATACTTTATGTTGTATCATTGTTTATGCAGCCTCATTAAAACCTGGCCTCAGCTATTTTTTATCAAATTAGACCCTAGCCCCAGTCAAATTTTAACCTTGGTCATGCATACTTAGTAGTATTTTTTATTTAAATAGCCATCATATATTCATTATATTCTGAGCTTGCTGGTTTTTATGATTTTATGAATTACTGGATGTGGAGGTTTTGAGCTTGAAACATCATTTGTAATTGCAATGCTTTTCTAAGAGTGGAAAATCACCATACATACACTCTTTAATTTCTAATCAGTTATAACATTTTATTATAACTATAGACACTTTCTTTAGTCCTAATATTTTACTGTCAACAAGTGTTACTTAATATTTCTAATTTATACTAGCTTGCTTAGTTTTTATACTATGAGTAGCAAAACTTTATTTTATAACATATTTTATCATAACATTTACTGACACAATAGTGCATCAGTCTAGCGTACTACGTTACATGAGAGCAATTCTTTCACTTATGTTTGATTATGTTAGCCATTTTACACCAGCTAGCATTAGGCATGACAACACATTGCTATCAGTTGCACAGAAAGCTAATAGCTCAATTTGCTTACTACAATTAACTACAATTTGCTCTTAGAATAACCTCTTCTATATCTACCTAAGTGGACAGCTATTTTAGTCACCTGTATGCAAACAATGTGTCATAGAAACAAAAAAAACATTTACAATAAACACCTTTTGGTAAACAAATATTACATTACAACTTCTCATCTGACTCACAACTCACAACTGATACAAAAAAAATGTAGCAGTCATGTCCTACAAAGAATAAAAAAGAATTAAAATAAATTTAAAGCTTTAACTAAATCTTTTTGCGTTTGCACAGGCTATCTTACTACAGAACTTGTTTTAAAGTGTAAACTGGCGTGCCATTTACGTATGCGCTAGGTCATTTTGCCACTTTTTATCATTGTTTAATATTTAAACAAGTCCAAATATATAGTTTAAGCAATAAGATAAAAAAGAAGTAATTAACGATATAAAAGCCATTTATGAAGTTTGGATGACGATTTTGTAAAAAAGTTAGCATAAAAATTATGTTTGATAATTGCGCTTTTCACAAAAGATTACATTTGCGAATATAATTAGTTAAGAAAATACAAAGAAAATTTTATTTTTATTATTATTATTAATATATATTATTATTAATATAACTTTTCCATGAATAATGGTTAGCAAAAAAAAAAAAAAAAAAAAAAGATGTTATACAACACTTTTATGAAGAAATCATATAAGAAAGATTTAAAAAACTTTTATTATCTTGCAACGGCAAGAATATTTATTTAGACAATATCTTATAACAAACAATAAAAATAATAATTACTGAATTAAAAAAAATAATTAGATAAAAAATAGTACACATTAAATTTTAGCGCCACTTTTGATATTTTATATTTGTTTTTTTCAAAAAAAATGAAAAAACATTAATTATTACAAACTTTAAACGACATCTTATAAAGAGTTTTTTTTTTTATAAAAAAAAAACTTCTTTTATGGATATAACTCTATTAATTTTTTTGTTTGAACTTACGCTTGAAGTAATCTCTTGCAATGTCTTTTTTGTTTGAACTTACGCTTGAAGTAATCTCTTGCAATGTCTTTGTTTATATTTTGTAAGTTTTATTTTGCAAAATGTTTTATTTTGCAAAAAGTTTTATTTTGCAACTAAAAATTATCAACACATTTGCCATTGAGCAACAGCAAAAAAAGAAGCGTGAAAAAAATGTTATTATTTATGGCATTAAAGAATCTGCAAAGTTATCAGTTGCTGATAAGCATATCGACGATAAGGTAACGGTTCAGAATATCTTAGTTACTATTTCATCTAATGCAAAACCAAAATCTGTCAAACGTATTAAATCTACGTCCTCTAAACCAGGACCAATTATCGTCGAACTTTCTGATGTCTCCGAAAGAAACCCATTATTAACAGCAGCAAAAAAATTGAAAAATTCAGATAATTATAAAAATATTTTTATAAGCCCAGATTTGACTGAGGCTGAAAGATATTTAAACTATCAGTTAAGAATGAAGCGTAATGAATTAAATAGTAATATCAATTTAAAAACATCGCCCTTTAGATACGGTATACGAAGCAGCAGAGTCGTCAAACTCAAAAATATACAAACCACTACATAAACATTACTACCCTTCTTCCACTCTTTTACCAGCAAACTTAAAATACAAAAGTAAAAATCTTCATAACAAAAAAACAAACTATAGCGTTAATTGTTATTATACTAATGCTACATCTCTCGACAATAAAATGGCCGATTTAATTTCAATATCTAGAACGTTTGATTATCACGTTATTGCTATCTCTGAAACATGGTTTCGAAATGACTCAGTACCTAATATCGATGGGTATAGCCTATATCGTAAAGATCGTCAAGACGGACGTCGAGGTGGCGGTGTAGCTATCTACATTACAGACGTATTTAACTCTCATGAAGTTAACCAATTTTATACAAATCTTCTCGAACAAGTCTGGGTATCTGTAAAATTTAACAACAAACATATACTTATCGGTTGTATATACAGACCAAATGATGCCAGTTTAATAAAATATGTCGCTGAATCCTTCAAATTAGCTCATAGTTTAATTAAAAAGCCCTATGATGACTGTTTGATTGTCGGTGACTTTAACTTCCCGAATATAAAGTGGTCTAACGATGGTATTGAATCTTTTAACCCAAACAATCCTACCGAGTATGATTTCTGGAATATTTTCCAAAACAGCCTTTTTACTCAACATATCACATTTCCTACTTTCCAGACTGATTATGGTTCCTCAAATAATATGTTGGACTTGTTATTTACCTACAACAGTAATTCTATTTTAAACTTGTCTCCTAGTACTATACTAGGTAACACCACTAAGGGTCATTTTAGTATCACTTGGAGATTCTTAGTTTCAGAACTGTTTACCGAAAGTGAATCTCAATCGTTTAATTACAAAAAAGGTGATTACGATTCAATATCTAACTTTATTGCATCAATCCACTGGGAGTTTTTATTCCTGCATAAAACTGCAGATCAAATGTTCAATAT